CGAGGCGGGGCGAGAGGCCGCGCGGGCTGCCTGGCAAGGGGAGGGGCCTGCAGGAGGAGGAGGTGAGGCCGGGCGGGCCCAGCTCGCAGTTTCGCCCCCCAACCTGCTGTCCCACTGTGGGGGCGATGAGGGGACAACTAACGCCCCTCCTCTAGGGTGGTCTCCCCGGACTCGGGGGGAGGAAGGTGTCACGCAGACCCTCCCCGCCTTTTGGAGTCTTCCTCTGCTAGTGGAAGGGGGGATATTAGTGCAGGAGCCTTTCCAATAACACTGGGCGCCTCTTAGACACCGTAAGTGCTGGGCTTTTGCCTCTCTCATGGGCTCGAGTCTGGCCTGGCTTAGCACTTGAATGAGAAATGAGCAGGGCAGCACTCCAGCTTGCAGGAAGTTGTGTTGGCAGCTCCTTGTGGTATTGTGCTTCTCTGCCTCCTTTTGGAGTTCCTGCTATGCAAGGCGGTGTGAGCAAGTTGGCTTGTGCACAAGTTGATTAATGCAAAGTATTTATATCCTGCTGATCTAGTTTCAACAGACTGTATGGGGGTAGTTGGCCACAACTATGATTCCTTCCTCACTCCTGCACATTAATGCATCTAGATGTAAACTGGTTGGTTACATGGGCTCTGAAGTTGATCCTGAGCTTGAGAATTTCTGTCTTCAGTCTAGCTGTACTTCAGCGTATTTTCTTAAAACAAAGTGTTTTGGGGTTTTTTTTTTTGAGCTTTTCCCCAGTTCTTAAGGAACATCTATGCTATATAAAGATTCCCATACCAGAGGAATTGGAATACCAATGTGTTTCTGATCAGCTTCCAATTTGGACACTGAATTCTGGCTCCCTGCATTTCCCCTTCAATTTCAATTGAGTACAGTACTTATCAGTTCATGTCCTAAGATGCTGGATAATTTAGCTGTGACTTGCCATATTCCACCCCAAAGTTGGCTACATTTTCAGTCATGGGGAAAGCAATTACTTTAGAGTTTGCTCTGTGATCCCAGAGCATGAAAGTGTCAGTGAATAATACATGTTATCTTTTTCTTCCCTTTTTAGTAGCTGCCTTTTTATTCCCAAAAAGAACTACAGCTGGAATTTAAAATAATCAGAATTATAGATCCTTAAGTATTTCAGTGACAACGTAGTAGCTATTACATACAAATATATGGGTAATGTTTCTGATATTTTTTTTTTCGGATAATGTAGGTATCTAGGAAACACCCCCTTATGACTTGCACCCAACTCTATTTTCACCTATCAGCTGCCAAACTATTTTACAATGCCTAATGTAATTATCTCCCAGCCAATCAGTTCTTCACCCCTCATTGAGACTGGGTACTAAATATTCCTGCAGCATGTAATGACAGATACCCCCTAAATCCGCTATATTCTTGATGGTAACATAGTACACCAACGTAACCAGTGCAAAATGTCCCCATTTTTTACTGCTGTGCTACCAAATTTTCACAAGTCCCAGTCCTTCTGATCCCAAGCAGCTTCCTCTGTTCTTTGTCACCCTCTTCTTTTTTTTGCCCTATTGGAGTGTTGAGGACTTTACACAGTATTCCAGGTGTGATGTCATCAGTGTCACACAAGGAGAAACTATGGTATGGCCTCCATTACTGATTACATAGTACCTCTGCCCTTGTGTAAAAAAACAAAACAAAACAAACCATGAACATTTTAATGCCTAGTGAGTTGCCAGTTTTCCACATCTTTGAACTTTTGCTCTTATTTCTGTGATATAAGCCTGATTAACAAAAATGTGTTTGTTTTTTTTTTTTTTTAAAAAAACACCTTTCTTTACTATAAAATTGGTGTATTCTAAAAGTAGATAATTCACTACTGGAGTCCCAAAGAGAAAAGGAGAGCAATTAAAAAAAGTTTACAATGTTAGGAACCATTAGAAAAGAGGTAAAGGAGGGATATGATAGAAGTCTATAAAATGAATCGTGTAGAGAATATAATAAAGGAATGTTCTTTGTCCCTTTGCATGACGTATAGCCCAATGAAATTAAGGAAGTACTTCACACAGTGTATGGTAAGATGTTATGAAGGGCAAAAGTATGTTTAAAAAAAGAATGATACAATTCATAGAGATTATGTTCAGTGGCTATTAACCAAGATGGTCAGAGATGTAACCCCATGCTGTGGGGGTCCCTAAAGCTCTGAGTGCAGGAAGCTGGTACTAGATGATGTGGAGTAGACCTCTCAATAAATTTCCCTGTGCTGCTTATAGTCTCTGAAGCCACTGGCTCTGACAATTCTTGGAAGACAGGATACTGGGCTAGGTGGATCATTGGTCTGACCTGGTATGCCAATTGTTATACTCTTAGGAAGTAGACTGCAATGAGTGATGTAAATTTGATTCCCTTCCTCTAACAAGTTTTGTATTTTCCTGTGCCACTGTACAATTTCTCAAGTAGCTGCTCTGTGCAGACAGGAGAGACCTCTCCCATTGACATAATTAAGCCTGCCCTACCAAGTGGCTATAGCTATGTGGGTAGGAGAACTGCAAGGGAGCATTGTCCACACAGGTACTTTTGTCTGTGTAACATGTGTCACTCAGAGGGATGCTCTTTCACATCCTTGAGTGGCATACATTATGCCAACAAAGTGCTAGTAAAGACATAGCCTAGGTCTATGACTGCACAAGTTAATCTGCTAATGGTAGTTCATCTTTGGAAACATGCTGCTAAGATTGCAAGTGGTCTCGCTGCTGGTGTCAGCAGAAGAGTGTTACTAAAAGATGTCCAGAAGAGAGCTGAGTGGAAAACCATTTTCCTGTTCTGTATAGGAAAGAACTTGAAACCTTTGGAGCTTTTTGTGACACACAAGAGCAAGAAACATCTTTTTCCCCCCATTAGTTAATAGCTCACTGGTTAAGGAACTGCTTTCATCTGGCATGGGGAGATCCTGGTTCAAATCCCTGTTCTGCTTGGAGTCAAGTCTCTGCTTCAAATTAGGTAGAACAGAGATTTGAATTAGGGTCACCCACATTCCAGCTGAATACTCCAGTCACTGAGCAATTGACTGTTCTGGGGTTAAATTGCATCCTGGACCTGAAAATCTTTTCCTGATGAGTGTTTCATTGAAGCCGGTCCATTCCTTTGCAAAAAACATTGGTTTCTACAAGTGATTATTTTTCAGTTAAAAACCACCCAAAAATTCCTTATTAGCTCTAGTTCAGAGCACGCGGTTTATTGAAATCCATTTCCAAATGAGAAATATCAATTATAGAATCATACTTTGATAGTTTTACAAAAATTAATTCTTATGCAGGAACTATATATTTTTTCTTTATTTCAAACACTAATATAGGAAGAGAAAATTCTTCCCTGATTTTACTTTGAGAATATGGTAATTCATTTGGAGTGTGTATTACGCTCTACAAAGAGAAAAGATAACCTTTTCCCTCCCCCCCCTCCCCCGGCTTACCTCTAGAATTTTCCTCATGGGCTCATGTTATAGGAACCTTTTTTGCTACTTCTGTAGCTAGCCAAGGAAGTTCCTAAAGAGCATTTCAAACCATATCACCTACATAATTCCTCCCATTCCAGGCCCTCAATAGAGACACTACATAAGACCTGCTGTAGTAGGAGTACATCTGATTTGGCCTGAAGTCTGTTTAGGTGAAATTTTGACTTTCCAGTATATTCCAGTCTTGTGTGAAAGATTGCTGCTAATACTCAGTTAAATTTGTTTGGTAACTTAACACTTTGTATTATAAACACAAGGTGATGTTTGCTACATCTGACATGGTACAGTAGTTCCAATTCAGCCAATCCATCATTGTGCTATATTTCTTCTGTTCCTTCTTTTTCCACCTTGTATGCTTCCTGTGGCTGAAGTCTCATAAATTACATACTATCCTTAACAAAGCCTCACAACATCCATATATGATGTTTCACAGATGGGCAGGCCAAAGACTAGGGCTTCATTTTCAGAGGTACTGATTACTGGAAGGTTCTGTCAAAGTTAAATGTAGTTCACCTTTGAAAATCTGCCTGTAAAGACCTGTAAAGGGTTCCACCCTTCAGGAGAGCGCCCCTTGGTGGCTAAGGGGAATCTTATAGTCTCTACTTGCCTGTCTGTGGGCAAGGTAGCATCCAGCAAGTAGCCAAAGATCAGGCCTTTTCTTTTATCCCTGCCCCCAGGTGCAGTTTGTAAGAGAGTT